ACTACAGCGAGAATAAAAGTTACGCCTTCTTTCTTTGTTAACTCTTAACTTTTATAAAGAATAGCTCTTTGGTTTTGAGACTTTAGTGTTTGCAACTTTACAGATCTTCTTTATGCACCAAGAGCTTGTAACACTCCAAAGAGAAAGGAAAAATTGAAATCGCATCATATGACCCCTTTAAAATGCTGAAGATTTTCTTTCATTTGCTCTTTCTTCACAAATAGACACACAGACTTACCATCAAAGATCCCATCTGGTATAAATATTTCATTTTAACTTATGCTTCAAATAGATTTTATGGCTTAGTGCAGTACATTTGAAAACAAAATGAATCATATGGCCCATTAATGTCTGATTAATTGAAAGTCTTAGTGTCTGATTTTGCTTCCAGGAAGAGATTTGATTCAGTCAGATCAGATTTTCCAGGGATCTCTTGATTTACGGTAAGTTACGCTCTAGATATAGTGCAAGTAGTTCATTGAGCAGGAAAGTTGGTGGTGATTTAGTTTTGCATGCATGTGCTAAAGTGAATATTAATTTCCTAGATTTGGAAACTGTAGTAAGGTTTGTGCACTGCTTGAAATATGCCTTAGCGTTTTAAAAGTGGGCTAAAACCTGTCTGAACTAGACTAATGTGAAGCAAAGCCTTGTTAATCAGGGATTAGTAAGAGGTAAAAAGATAGTAACTCATTGTGGCACAAGATTTGCAGTGGGCATTCAGGTCGATTTCTGCATAAGTCTATTGCAGGTCTTTGTATGTGTTTGGTGATGTGCATTATTGTGTGTGGATGCCAGACTCTCATTTAAGAAATAGCACTTTTGCATTAAATACCCATTTTTTTTATAGGGCTGCCAAAGTTAGCACATTGCCTTATGAGATTAATTAAATGTCTAATGCTGTTAAGTTCATTTAACACCCCTAATGCATTTACCTGATTTGACATAATTGCTTCATTGTAGGGTTAAACAGTGCGAGCGCTTCACTTGCATTTGCGACTAAAAATAGATGTGGGCGAACTGTAAAATGTATTTAGGAGCATTTGTGCGATTAAAACAGAAAGTATTAAATATCTTAAATGGTGTAATTATCATTTTAAATTTAATTCGTCTTAAATTTGGGGACGGAAAAGCAGGAATCACGATACAGCCTAATGTGATTATTAAACATAGAAAGGCTATGATTTCATGAAATAAATAAATATGAGCACTGCACAATTCAAAGTAAAAATGTGGCACTGTTTTGTTATTCCTCAGGCTTGCGGTTTCAGATCAGTTCATAATCAATGAAAACCGCACATTTATGCCAAGTGATTGCTTATGATTGTCTGTTGATTAATTATGACAATGTTTACTTTGTTGTTTATATTGTAATATGTTGTAAATGGCTATAAGAGTGCATATTTTATTTTTATTTTTTGAATGAGCAACCAACAGCAGTAAAGCATAGACATTTCAAAATAAGAGTCATTGCGTATTTTAAACTTGTTTATAATTAAAAGTCATGCATGGGTAAATTTTTTTTTTCTACTGGTTTTTATTGGTATTTATCTAGCATTTAATAAGCCGTAAACACTAGTAAATTCCGTCTGGGCTGACTCGTCACAGGAAGAAAACTGAATATTATTTAGCACATTATTCAATATATTGTTTATAACAGTTTATGTGTGTGTGTGTGTGTGTGTGATTTTATATATATATATATATATATATATATAATAAAATAACATTAGTACAGTTTAAAGCTGAAATATAAAAAAAAAAATCTATTGTACTTTCTGTATTCTAATCAATTAAATCTTTTTGCTTGTTTTGCTTGTACTGTAAATTTCTTGTATCCTTTTATTAAGAAAAAATTATTAAAAACGTTTTTCAATGCGCTCCTAAATTTTCAACAAACATACTTCTTGGGGGAAAAAGTAAGCGTCAAGCCCTGCATTGAGATCTTCATGCATTGAGTGATTTATTCAGATCAAATAGTTTTAAAGTTGTGCATTGTTTTGCCTTTGTCCCAAGCATTTTATACCGTGGAGACCTAATTTTCCACTCAAGAGTGATAACGCTCTAAACGCTGTCAATTTCTAACCGTCCGACCCGACACGCACATCCTTCATTGAAGCAGAGATCAGTGAAGCTCTGAGTGTGACGTGGATGAGAGCGGCAGTCCGAGGCTCTCAGGGACATTCACAGAGATCACTGAGCTCTCATTCCGGTCTAAATGTCAGCGAGCTTCCACGGCTTTTGTGTAAACACAGCTGTAGCCATAGATCAGATTCAGAAACATTCTCTCCTTTCCACCAGCCCCTTTTTCCATCTCCTCTTTCTGCTGTAATGGTTTCACTCACTCTCTGCTCTTTCTTGCCCATCTCTCCATCACTAAGTTTATTTTTGGACTGCTATTTTTATTGTTCCTGCTCTTAAGTCCTGATGTCAAATGTCCAGAGATATAAATGTCATCACTGTGTTTTAGTATCATAGTATAAGATCTTAACAGGCATCTGTCTGTCTGTCAGCATTATCAAGATGTTCTTCCCATACGCCAATATAATGCATTTTAACATGATAAACTTGAAATGTTGTGATGATCATGCATCTTTCTGCAATTGCGATGACCACTTTTGAATATTATACATATAGTCTTAATTCGTTTTTCATTTTTAGAGTTCAAAATGTTCAAAATAAGTTTGAAAGCCATTTATTGTTAAATATAAAATCATAGAAGTCAGATTCTAATGAAAATTTGAGTGTAACCGCTGTTACCACAATATAAAAACACCAAAAGGACTTTGAGGAACACTTAAGTTCTTCCTTAAGCTAATGGCCATGTGTGGTGAGGCGATATGTTACAAGTCCATGAATTTTGAATTTTTGAAGGGCCTTTTTAAAGGTGCCCTATTATGCCCCTTTTTACAAGATGAAAAATAAATCTTTAATTGTCCCCAGAGTGTGTATGTGAAGTTTTAGCTCAAAATACCCCACAGATAATTTTTTATAGCTTGTTGAAATTGCCACTTTTAGGGTATGAGCCAAAACGCGCCATTTATGTGTTTGTCCCTTTAAATGCAAATGAGCTGGTGCTCCCGCCTCCCTTTTCAGAAGAGGGCGGAGCTTCAAGATCTCATGCTCCAGCCTAGGGCTGGGCGATATAGTTAAAAAATTTATCAACGATAAAATGTTTCATATCGTTCGGTATTGATAATTATTGACATTTTTATAACTTTTTTTAAAACAAAGAGCAATAGAAATTTTTTTTTACATTTAACCACTGTATTTTTAAATGAACTCAATTTATTGAGACAGCTATTTTTTTGTTGTTTTGTTTTAACAGTCAAACATAAAATACAAATGAAACGAATATCTAATTTCTAATGTTTTATATGCAGATTAAATAGGTTAAACTTTTGGCTTGTTTCCCGAGGCCACAGGAGGGCCTAATGAGCAAAATAATGAAGCACATTAAATTGCAACGCAAGGAAATAA